ACATTTTTAATTCTGTATTATATATCAAATTCTTTTGAGTAATACCAAAAATCACAGCAGGCTTCATACAACTTATTTGCAACTGTCACTGAGCTATAGGTGGTGTTATTCTGAGAACTATTGGATTTGTAGTTGGCTTGTTCAGAATAATTTTAGCTACTATGGAATAATGTTCAGATTACTGATACTGAAAAGCAGTATAAATCCTGTAAAGCCTCCGGGGTATTTTTGTTGTGCTTTTCTGTAATTGGAGATTAGAATTTAAAAATATACAAGCTTGAATGTGTGAATAAACTGAGATGACACAGAGGAAATTGATAGCTTTAGAAGTCATGGGAACTTCCTCAGATCTGTTGTAAGACTTCTATAATTTCAGGGAGTGGGATGCTAAAATAGATTAAAATCTAGTGTTGGTACATCAGGAAAGATGTTAACTGATATGCAGAGAGTTGCTTTGTGCTTTTTTTCTGTTTTCTTCCCAGAAGATGTGTAATGGGCATACGTGGGGCTGATACTCCTAAATTGCTATTACTCCATTAAAAATGTCCTAATTTGTCTTCAGGGCACTGATTTTAATACAAAAAATTGAGTATTGCTTGCTTTCCAGCTCCTCTTTCAACCAATTGTATATGAATGTTCATGCTAGTAATAGAGTATTAAGTTCAGTGGCATAATTCAAAAGTGAAGAAAACTTTGCCTGCTGTGAGAGGTCTCTCAGATACCTACCATTTTTTTAAACAGGCACTCTTTGATAGAAAGATAATTTTTGTCACAAATAATGCCACTGCTGTACTACCCTGGCATGGTGCTGCTCACAACCATGTTCTAGAGGCCTGTTACCGATGTGTGTTTATCAGAGCGGATATGGTAGGTGATGTCAAAAGTTCACTTAGCCCGGTGCAGTGTCTGACAGTAGCCAATAGTCAATGTCTACTGAAGAGGCTAGAACGGAGCAGATACATAGGGTGGTCCATCTCTGGAACAGTATCTCAGCTTCAAAGGATTTTTGGCTGAGAAGAAGCTCTGAGCTTACATAATACAGTAATTATGATGTTAGGTTGTTCTGTATCTTGTTGGACCTAGCACGCAAGTATGGGAGGGCTAAAATGATGGTTCTCCCTGCCCTTCCCCTTGGATGCCTAGAGTAGTCAAAAATACAATATTGTATTTCTGTACTGAGTCCTTTTCATATCAGTGAGATAATCTTTTTGTTTTCTTGCATATCTGTCCACCTTTTCTATTATGTATAAGAATATGTACATTTCTTTTGTAGCCACGTCATGAATACTTTAATGTCCCAGTGTACTAAATGGCTTCATCATGCATGCAGAATTTCAGAGGAGATAGACCAGTGACTTACTCATGACAGAACATTATCATCAGCTTGGTGAATCCAGTCATCTTGAATCTAATAAATACCACAACCATTCTCTGCTATTGTACTTTCCTCTTCCCCCTCTGTTTTACAGTGTTGTCTCTTCATATGTCTCATTTCAACGAAACTTGTGCTTGTTGGCATATGGTTTAACTTTTTTATTGTGTGTAACCTTGAAGTCTTGTGCTTACAAGTTCTGTAGAGTTTTCTGAGCTAAACATCTAAACTGCAACACCTATACTGTAACATTGTGACCTGTGTTTATCTTTCAAATAAGTTATGGTGGTATTTAAACATACACTTAAAACCTGTAGATGAAGGTAATACTTAGAGAAGCTAGTGAAGGAGTAGTATGTGAAATGTGTATACACACAAGTATTAAATGATACTACACACAATTCTACACATACCTTGCATCTTAAAGATGCACATACCAATATCCTTTTCTGAGACTGGCACAATGGTGTGACTTACCTTATAAAGAAGAGGAAGGCAGAATTGATTAAGGCAAAGAGAACTACTTAGGTAAATTTGAAGTTACAACATTTATATTTAAATGTTCAAAACAGTCTTGTGAGTAGTTGAACAATTGCTGCTTGCTGAAGGAGAGAACAAGTTCATTGCTTTACAAATGGTTAGGGTTGGAAAGATTTTTTTTTTTTTAAAGTCCATTAGCAGCATACTTGAAATACGTGTCCTTCAATTGGCATTTTCAGTTTCAAGTGCAGGCTACCTTGTATATTGGAGAACTGCCACAAGGATGTATATAAGTACCTTTCAATTAAAAAGTGTGGGCAGGGTGAGAGGGCATGTATTGCATCCTCTGTTTGCCTAGTAGAAGAAAATAATTTGTATCCTAAAACCAATGCCGTTTCTGAAAATTGTTCAAGGGTAACTAGCAAGGAGGTAGTTACTGAGACTAACCACAATCAGCTAGTTCAGCGTACTATATGTGGTAATGCACTACCTTTCAAATGTTAAACTGACATAAAAATTGGAGAATTAGGGGATTAGACAAAAGATTTTGATTGGACTTGCAGCATTTTGAAATGTTAAAAAGCAAGATCATAGGAGTGGTTTTCCATTTCCAAGTTTGCCTTTTTTCTGTAAGACATTAACAATGTGTTTGAATGTCTGGTTAATGCTGCTTTAGCCTGCATTATTTCATGCCTGTTGGCTTAAAATGCTGTGCATTGAGCTGTAATGAGATGCTGTTTTTCTTGTTATCTGTATACAGCTGCTTGCTTCTAAACGACTAGGTAATGAATTAGCTTTCCTGGCATGTTTGAAATAAAGTATTGCATGCACTTTTGTCTCATGTGAATGACTTTTTTTCCTCATCTGTGTTCTGATACATTTCAAATTTGCATTGTTTGCCTTGGGTGATTCTGAGCTGCAGGTAGTGTGTAATACTGCAGAATGTTTTCCATAACAATTGGATAAAATGTTTGACACTTCCTAAAACAAATAATGTGAACAAAACATAGTTAATTCTATTTGTTTCTTAAAAGTAATAATCGATGAAATTATTCCTTTAGAAAAACACATTAGCCTTTAGGTGTTCCTTTTGAGTTTATATTGTTCATGTGAATCTAAGAATGCACGTCTGCCTCAAGGTTACTGCTGTAGTATTAAAAAATTAAAATCTTACTGAGTTTTACTGGTGAGATATCTGTGGACAAGTAGCCAATGTCTTTGAAATACATTGCTTTAAATTCATAGTGTGCCAATGACCTTGATTTACTTGAAGACATTTAATCTTTATTTAAGTATATGCCTGGTGAAAATTACCTACAACTTTGGGCAGTGGAGACAATAATACTAAACTGTTCTAAAGATATTAACAGCAGAGCACTGTATTTTTTCATAGCTATTGAGCAACTTTTTTTTCAGGTAATATAGTGAATATCCTGTTTCACCACTGAGTGTCCACTGCTATGTAATCAGTTGAAAACAGTGAAAATTTGTTTTATTACAAATGTTTTCAAGACCCAGAAATGCCTGAGAATTTATATTCTGTTAAATACTCTGAATTCTGTTGCTGTAGTTAAGCATGTAGGTTTTTTTTTTTTTTTTTTAGTAAAATGCTTTTAAGTTGGTGGATAGGGGAGAGACATGTCCTCTAAAACGAATGCAACAAAGTAATCTGGGAATATAATACGACATCTTGTATTAAAAATGCTGCATAGCCTTTTCTTCAATCAGTGTCTCCTTTGGGGGGATTTGTATACAAACGTGTAAATCTTTAATTGTGCCATCCTGTCTGGCTTTATCAAGGTCAGTGCAGTTCCAAGAACATTTAAATATTGCATCAGAGGGAAAAAAACCCTGTAATACACAGAGTATCTTGTTTCCAGTTTTAACTTGGCTTTTTCTTGCAATTTCTTACTTGCTGCTGGATTTTGGAAGCCATCTTGAAGTGCTCACAGGTGGCCTATTCAAAGTGCTGACTGACTTTCAAATCAAGTTGCCTTTAAAATATCATAGCTTGTTCCTTCAATACTAAATTACCTTATATATGAACTGAATGAGGACTGTAAACTTGATTGTTTTGTGCTACATAGTCAAGGTTTATAGAGAGGTTGGTGTTATTTGTAAGATTTAAGGTGTTTAATTATGTATTTTACTGACAATTTTTAAAAATAAATATTTAGACTATTTAGAAAGCGGTTGAAAAATAATTTGTTTGCTGCCTTAACTATTATCTGCTTTTTTTCTGCTTCATGACATGTCTTGTTTTAGGATGCTAAAGTAAGTTTATTCATGCCCTGGATACTACAACACTTTATGTTTCCATAAGGACACAGTATCCCTTTTTATTTACTATGATATTGTTAATAACTACGGAAAAGGACAGCATCATATTTCTAATTAAACGACTATTTCTTTTCAGATGCTATAGGAATAATGAATACAAAACAAATTATAATCCTTCAGAATTTTGTATTAAATGACTTGTTGTAAATCTAAACAAAGCTCTTTAAGGTTAGAATTAACCTAAAACTTTATGCTTGGTGTGGAATAATAGAATTCCAATCCTGGTGATTCCTCTACTTCTGTAGGGGTCAATTTATTGGAACCAGGGGTTTCAAGGTACCTTGACCGGGTTTTATGAACAAAGCATGGGACTGGTGTAAAAAAAAAAAAAAAAAACAAACACACAACAATTTCAGCTCCTTATAAAGCAATTAAGGGATACTGTATCTTAGTAGTGCCAGTCATTTCATTCATCCATTTATTCATTCTTCTGTAACAGATTTTTGAGACCCATGAAACAATTCACCACAAAAATCACTGATTCCACTGCAAGATGCTTGCCCATCCCTCCCCAATTCATATCTCTGTTACTGGGTTGTGATTTGTTTCCTGCTGGTACAACTGAATTGCTTTATTTTTATTGCACTTAAGGGCAATAAAATCTACCAGCTATTCCCGTGAACCATGACAATCTAATTAACAGCTCTTTGAGAAATGCAGCTAATACCATGTTTGCAAACTGCAGTACTCTTATCTTTTCATGTGTTTCAGCTTTTTTAATTAAGCATCTTTCATACTAACTCATGTACGGTACTGTTCAACAAAGCACAGGGTCCATTTACCACTGTCTCAAATTTTCCCTCCGTAGGAAGCAGAGACCCCACGTAGTGTACTTGAAGAAATTGGATTGACATAAATCTTCACGTCAGCTGATGACATCTCAGTGTTTCATACTGTAAATGTTCACTGCCTTCATTGTAATGTTTAGCTAATGGTGTAAGATGCTGTTTGTCAGTATTACTGTTTTGCTGAGCTGCTTCATTCAGGCCTACAAGAAAAATACTCTTTTGAAAAGGGAACAAGAAATTAAAGTCCAAAAACCATAAATGAAAGGGAATTAGATTTAAATTGACTCAGTGTCTCCCTTCACTGCATTTATAGGAAGACTGTATTTGACTTCAATAAGTGTACTGTTTTTTATAAGCAAACTTCAGGAAATAAATGTATCATTCGGACACAGCATATCTAAGTGAAAAGAAGCTACATGGACAACTCCAAACATGAAATGGTATAGTGTAGATATTGTGTTTATGCAACCAAAGACTTTTGTTCATCTCCATTTTAGTCATCACTTGTGATAATTTTGCTTATTTCGGTTGATGCATAAAGATTGGAAATACCTGTTTACTACTGAATTTGTCATTATACCAAAGAATCCTGTTAGGATCTGCATATCAAACTGGTAGAAACTGTAAAGGTGATACTATTTTTTGCAAGAAAACTGCAAACTGATAAACTCACTAGAAATGGTATATTTAAGTGTAGCTACCTTAGGCAAAACTGTGCAAGTTACTATACTAAAAAGGGAATGCATGTAGTAGTACAACAACAACATATTTCCAAATACGGAAACTATTTTTAGATCTGACATTAGCTTGCTCTGAACATAAACACAAGGATTCTGACTGTATAGAGATGTGCATAATGAAAATTGGGTACTTTTGAAGGTGGGGAAGAAGGAGCTTTACTAAAGGGATTTTTTAATTATTTTCTTTCAAACTCTCCAAATAAACTTGTATTTATGGGTGTGTTCTAGTCATGCTTTAACCAGTGTATAGGCACCTTAAAAAAAACCCCACACAGTAAGTGTCAGTGGCATTTTAACTGCTGTCCTTGACTTCTACACGACACACCCCTGTGAAACTCCTGTGTGATACACTGTTGAACCAACTAATTCGCAGTGAGAGGCTTTTAAATGTTAGATTTGCATTCTAGGTTCACTGCAAATCGTGTAAAGTGATGTCAAGTAATATTTTGACACTTCCAGCAGACTTTCAGTAATTATAAACTAAACCTGTTGCGTATCAGGAAATTTGATTCATGTGTGCTTTTGAGTTTTGCAGAGGTAGTGCCCCACTTTGGAGTAGCCAGGTTCGATGGTGTGTCTGTGTGGTCCCTGAGAAGGCAGGGCTGTTCCCCTCCTTCCCTCCCTTGCTGGTAATCTTTGCTCTAAGAGTCCATGTTTTGGCTTTTTCACTTCAGTAAGTAGTGCCACGTTTTCACAAAACTTAGGCTTTGGCGTTGTGGCTGACAGCAGCCAGGCGCTGCTAGCGTAAGCGTTGGCGCAGCCATCTGGAGAGCGGGGCGGGGGCCTGGGTGTGATCTAGGTTAAATTTAACCCCCTGGGAAGGGCTCAGTGCTGGTGCTTGCAAGTCCCCTGATCCAGATCCCAGTACAAATGCTTCTGGCAGCAGAAGGGCCATCTGGAGAAGGGTGGGTCTGCACACTTCTGTGGCAGTGCCAGGGTGGAGCCTGTGAACTCACTCAGAATTTGTCTACTTATGCCCTTCCAGGGATTTAACCCTACCCAATTGTTAGAGACTGTTTTTAACCTTGGGCATGCAAAAGCAGAGGCGTGCGTTTCCCCAGAGCACAGCATGCAGGGACAGACGAGGTTAAAGCGGTAGCAGAATGACCCCGCGTATGAGATTGCAGTGGTAAAATTTCTTAAGTCAAACTAGAAGCAATTTTCTAGGTATTAAACATGTTTTTAAAGTTTACGCTGTCACTTGTATGTGCTTGGCTGGATTAAGCTTTGTTGTGGTTGTGACAAATAAACTGTTTGACCTCTGTCTGTCACATTGGTTTAGTTGTAATAAATGTCCATTTTTACACCATTGCTTTGTGTTTATATGTAATTAGTTCTGTTTTATCCGTAGGAAAGAAGAGGCTACTCAGTGCTAGCTTAAAAAAAAAGGGAAATTTTATTACAGTGCTTAACCTGTTCTTGAGCACTTTATTAAAAAATGTGTGAGTATACTGTGTCCAAGATTAGTTATTTACATCCATTTAAATTGTACAGAAAGCAATAAATTAGCAAGTTTTTGGAAGGCTTACCACTTTAAACATGGCATTTATTAAAGTGGATGTTAAATTGATGCGGTAGTGCCGCTTCATTTGAAAATTAAAACAAACCACATGTCGATTGAGAGAGGATTCTGGATAATATAAACTCAATATTCAGTTCCTTAAATGGAATTACGAGCAAGTCAAGGCAACATTCACAATCCTAGTCAACCAGAAATTTCTCAGATTAATCTGTTCTTCAGCTTTCTAAAAGAACTGAAGTGGTTGATGTTATCAGCGAAAGCATGGGAGGAACTTGCTTATTATCTTAGGGCATTTCTTTAATATGAAATAAAATTCTGATTCTTAAATTTTCTGTCTTATGGGGAAAGGAGGTGGGGCTAAAGAACCAATTAGAACTTCTGGATTGTTTAGGCAGGTGATTGTTGGCTTGAGTGTCTTACTTCATCACTGAATTCTAGTCTTTAACTCGAAGAAGCCTTCCTAAACATCTGCTGTCGCTTTTGAGTTGATGATAGTTGCCCTGTGGCTGCCTTTGTGAAGATACCGTGTGTCATGGGTGATGCTTGTATGCCTTACTTTGTAATCAGTCTCATTCACTGAAGCATAACTTGTCAGTTATCCTGTGTTTTTTTTTTAAACCAGATAGATACTGAATTCAGCTGATAACGTCAGTGCTGAATAGAAGGATATGTGGAGTAATGGGGTTATTTTAATTGCAACAAACTTACAGTGAAAGCAAAATCAGCTGCACTCTTTAGATGATGTAAGAAAGTAAATTAAGCTTTTAAGTTGTTAACTAGCATTGACTGTCATGTTTTGTAAGAAGTGCTGATCCAGGACAGGAAGCAATAGCGTCTTTAAGTAGACTCTTGTAATTTCTTTTGAAAAAAACCCTGTTATTTAGCGCACAGGAATGTTGCCGATCAACCTCAGGGCTATTTCTGATACAATGACTGCAGTAACACAAAACTGAATCTGAGGAGGACATGCTGTCATCAAAGGACTAGAGCTGCAGCGTTACTTGGGATGTGTTTTGGACCCTCTGCCCTATAAGCGAGGGAAGGGCCAGAGCAAGAAGGCCTCTCCAGGCGGGCTTGTTCCCTCCGTAACAAGACGAAAGTCTTGCATTCAGCATGTGGGCGCCTGCTACCCCTCTCGCCCTGCGGCCATGGCGGAGAGCTATCCGGACAGGGGGAAAGGGAAATGGCTGGGAAGCAGCCATGAACTGAGTGGTTGAACCGGAGTGCTTGCTGCTGCCAGCGGGCAAGCCCAGTTCCCCCAGGCCTAGATGCTGCTGGGCAGTCATACTGCCTCTGCCCGCAGCAGTTCCCACCACGCTGCCATTATTCCCCTTCTACCACTGGAAACACTCGCTCTAACTGCCAGGATCCCCTTCCCCGGGAGAAGGGTAGGAGCAACGCCCACGCTCCATCCCGCCTGCGAAATGAGGTGCCTGGCAGGCCTTGGCCGGGGGGCCCCACTGCTGCCCCAGCCGGCTGCTCGCAGCTCTCTGGAAATGCCTGCTTTCATTTATCACCCTAAAGCACCTCACCCATCCTTGCAGAATTCACAACTGAAAAAAAAAAGGAATTTTGAAAGCCACTGCTTTTAAGCAGTCATTAAAAATAAAACAAAACAAAACTAGGCCAGTATTAATTCACTTTATAAGGTCCTTTTATGTGGAATACGCAGAATAACACACAGTGAGAACAAGCTATTCCTTGCAAATTTAAATCCTTTCTGTGTTCTCCTGGGGCTTCTCCCCTTTGGAAAAAAAAACCAAACCTAAGCTTAACATTTAAGAACTTCTAGTCTTTTTGTCTCTTCGGAATAAATAGCTCAGCTAATAAGGAAACACAAAACCATGCATATAACACTACTTAAGATTATGAAGTAGAGAAACAATACTGAAATATATGAACTCTGAAGTTTGAAAACTGGTTGAATTCCAGGTTTCATGCTAACAAATGCAAACTACATGTCAGATCTACAGCACTCAGTTTCTGTGTAATAAGCAGACTGCATGTGAAAGTGAATGATAATTGCAGCTACCAGTCCTATACTGCACATGTACAGCCAGTAAGTTTGGGTCCAGACCTCAAGAAAAAAAGCTGAAGCTTCAGCCATTATAGTAGCAGAAATAAAGTATATTTAAATTTTTACATGCATCTCTGAGCAAGTCTTTTTTTTTGTAATTATAAAAACTTTTTTTTATTTTAAAAATACAGCAGCTCAGCTTCCCAGATCCCATTACAAAACTGTGGGGACAAGGAGCCTAATTACCTGTGGAATTCTCACATGGGTCTTAGTTGGCACTTGGTTTCTAATCCTACAGAGGCCCGCTTTGCTTATTTCACTCGACTGGTCACTGGTTCGCACCACCCATGCCACCGCTTCTGTCTGAGCTCGGTAATTAATTTTACTTGGGTAACGCTCAACCATAGCTTGCTGCATGACATACAGGATGTACAACGTACTGCGGATGTTATAAGCCAACTCTTCCACACGAGAGCTGTACGCAGCAGGCTAGTTCAGCAGCACGAGTCGTGGGACACAAGGCAGCACCAGCGAAAGGCAGGCTGGTTGCCCTGCTAGTGGTGCGTCCCAGCAACTAGGAAATGCCCCTGCCGTTCTGCTCCAGGGAACTAAACCAGAGTTTGACACATTCTGCACAAGTGACCCAACTAGACAAGTGAGCATCTATGAAAAAATAGAAACCTTGGGGAAAATCTGTAAGGTCTAGTCAGAGAAAAGATAGATTATGAGAAACTGGTGGTCACAAATTTCTCAAATATAATTTAAAACTTTGTGCTGTCTATCCTCGGAAATACACCTTTCAAACAAAGTTGTTATTTCAAAAGTTATGCTATTAAATTACAATTCCTACATCTGTTAATAACTAAAACATTTAATCAAATTAACTAAGCTACAATTCTGCCTACAGTTATGACAATATATAGTGAAAGTCGGGTTTGAACTGAACATCAATATATAGCACTTTTGCTGTATTACGCCATATTGGACAACAGTTACACATGAAAGAAGGAAAATGGATAATCAGCATGCTAGGCGCAGTATGCATTTATAAAAGCAAAAATATATATATTATATCAAGAAGCAATGTTCATTCACTCTTAACTATCCTGGGGGAAAAACGTTCTTGCCGTGAGGAATGCTATCGTAAAGTTTGGTTATCCAGATTTTCTATGGGACTTTTATGTTATACTGTTGGAGTCATAACAAGTACCTGTTTGGGAGCACTTCCTGTCTACTTTAGGTTTCCAACTTTGTTGGTGTGAACTGTACTCTAAAGGCAGGAGCCCACGTTCCCTGGAGAGGCTAAAGGGAAGGAGGTTTCTCTGCAGACCGTTCAGGGCACCTGCACTTCAGTGCCACAGACTGCTCTCTCCAAGTGTCTAAGGACACCTGGGTGCCCAAGCTAAATACCTAAAGTGAAGCAGTGTGAAGTACAGTCCATCTAACAGCACAAATCCTTCATTTAAAAGTGAAGAAATATTTGTAAGGGTTTACCTAATTGCAGGTACTTTGCTAATACAGCTGTAATTTCAAAAAGGTTTTGTCCTGCTAAGTTCATTTTTATGTACCCTACTCTCCACCTTGACCATAGGGAAGCTAGGCAGTAGGGTGCCTTAAACTGTAAAATAAGCCTAAAAAGGTTTTAAGTCACCTCCTCCTCTCCAAAAACCCTGAAGTATTGTTTCGGGTATAAAACCTTCAGCTTCTTTAGCCATGCTGCAACCATCTTGAGCCTTCACAAGTACATATATGCTTCTTCAGTTACCAGGTTCATGCTTTTCCACCACTGCATCACAGGTTAGGCAGGTTGTTTTTCAACTACAAATGGTATGCAACCAAGAGGTATGCAAAGTATTTTCTATCCTCAGTCGAGGATTACAAGTGCATGGTCTCCACTCTTACTTGAGGATTAAGGTACTGAATAAATTGATTGTTCTTCTGTCTACTTCCTACTTGGCTTTATTGCCTATTGCCTACTTGGCAATCCCTAGAAGGCAATTAGCTCAGCAGCTCAGTCAGGGAAGAGAGAAAAATCCGACACTTATGACCACAGAGCTCCTACCGCGCAAGCATTGTACAATCAAACAGCGATGTCTTTTAGATCCCTTTTCTCCAACTCACAACATGATTATATTTACTTTGTCTAGAAAGAGATTTCCCATAAACAGACAGAAAATATAAACGGCAGTCTTCTACACAGACTTCCATTTGCAGTGTGCTGTGGTGTGAATTTACAGCACACGGGCTGTTCTGTACTAACTCCTTACAGGGACAGTAAACACTTAACACACACATAACACAGAAATAAGCATATACCAAATAAGCTTTACTTGTCTTTCTGTTTGTACTTGGTATGCATCCAGATGTTGCAGCAGTTCAGAGGGACAGAGTAGCTAGAGTACTTGACATTCACACCTTATATAGGACTTAAACTTTTAATTTTCTGAAGCTTAGCACACAATAAACTAGGTTCCTTTATTAGGAAGAAACATTTTAATGTGCAAGAACACTTTATTTGAAACTCAAATATGGTGCCCTATTGGAAAGATTTCTTTGTCAGCTCTAGGTTTGATCAATTAGCAATTTCTAAAAGTAATTCTCACTTTGTTTTGGGAGTTTCACTATTTTTGCCTCTGCTGCTTGATCTCTTTTTACCCCTGCTCCTGGATCGAGAGGAACTCCGACTTCTGCTCCTACTGCGTGTTCGACTATGACTTCTGCTGCGACTGCGGCCTCTCCTCTTTCTCCCCCTGCTGCGAGACCTCCTCCTTTCTCGACTTCTTGACCTGCCAGACCGGCGCCTTCTCTTGTTTTTGCGGCGATTCTTTTTTCTCTCAGATTCTCCATTTCTCCGGTAAGAATGATCTGGGCTTGGGCTGCCCCTTCTCCTTGACCGGCTGTAATAGTCATCACGATGGCTTGATCTGTTTCTCCTTTCAGAGTTTTTAGACAACTGATTAGTCCGTTCAGGAGAAATACGTATGTCTCTATTGGCCTCCCAAAACTCATTGTTTGGATTTTTGAATACATGAAGAAAGTTGCAGTGTTTCCCTCTTGGACACTTCTGCCTTTCAAATAAGCCTGCAACAGAGTAGGGTTTGCTTTTTTCATGAACCAGACCTGTTAAATCTCTTTCTTCATTATGTACCTACTGGAAAGAAACTTATTAAACTGAATATGGCTTCTTCAAACAGAAAAACATGCATCTGACCACCTATCAATTTAATTCACCCAAGATTATTTTTCAATATGTACTTTTATTGGAATTAACTTTTTAGCAGCTATGAAGGTTTTAGCTTAAAACAATTTTCATAAATAATTGTACTACCTTAATCTAAGCATGTAAATATAGAGAAGTCAAATGTGATAGCTACTGGTAAGAACTGTTGATGGTTCAGAAACTGCTGTTGCTTTTTAAAGAGATAAACTAGTACCTCCTGTAGTTTCACCTTAAGATTACAATTTCCAAAGCCAGGATCCAAATGTTCTTTTCCAGTCCAAGGTAAATCCACTAGAACAATTCAGATGCTTAATGTGACATGGTATGAATATTCCCTTTCTTTCCTAGATCTACACAAGCAAATTAGCATATCTGTCTTCCAAACGGAAATGAACTGCAACATTAGGCAGATCTGAAAGCTACACGCTAATTCTCTCTTTTTCACTTCCATAAGTACTCTTTCAGTAAAACACACTCTCTTTTCCAAGTGCTTATGTGACTCACCACATATAGCAGTTTTCCACCTTGTCACAGGACAAAACTCACAATGAAGCTGTCGGCCTGCATACCATCGTCCACTGAATAGAGCAAGAGCTGCCTGACAGTCCTTCTCCCTTTAAAAAGTAAAAATCAGACATAGCATTATCATGATACAATTGTTTAAGATGTTACTTACCAATTTTATCTCCCTTTACAGTATGAGAATGAATCACTTGGATTATACAGTGTTCACAGTTCTGAAACTTAGTAAGATTGCGAGTACTTACGACTGATACTGGACATACACATTTCCTCGCAGGTGAGGCTCATAGTTGCAACTGACCTAAGGGGATGGAAAGATTAAGTTAGTGCAACGGAACGTTCACGCTATACAGCAGCTCACACATGTTGAGATGGCAGCCATTCCCATTTATGAGCTGCAGCTCATCAATATGAACTTACATGTGATTTTCTTCTGAACACTTAGTTTTAGCCAAATAGAAGGTTTTGAAGAAAAAAAAGGAAAAAAAAAGCCCTTCTAGCTTACTTTGACTGTTTCCAACATTATGCTTCTATTAACACTGGGACCTCTACTTCACTGAGTCAAGACAGCTTGTACTCAATTGTCGCGCACTTGTCTGGGCCAACCCTACTGTGCAACTGCCAAATCCTGCTCTGAAAACAATCAGTAGTATCCTCACGTGGAAATGTGGGATTCATTCATTCATGGATTCATTATCGTAAGAGACTCTTTAGAGCAATTTTGCTTCACAGCATCCCTGTGAGATGAGTTAGAAAACCTGAAGTCACTAGCTTTCACTGTACAGTTCTGAAACACCTTTTTTCCCCAATAATTTAGCATTCAAAGTATACCTAAAGCTCTCAAAAATACACAATTTAACTTCCAAAAAGCTCATTGCTAGTTACAAAAGATCCTGAAACAGGCAGGCCCCAGGTCTCTCCAGGGGAGAACTGTGAGCGCAACCTCTTTTGCCCCCAGGCTTCTTCAATAGCGGCACCAAATGAGGCTCCTTTCATCACTGAACCCTGATTGACCCTCAAAGAATACCTCTCTGTGCAATGGGTTAGGCAGGGGCTTCAGACACATGAAGCAGCAGCTGTATAATTAAATATTACGGCATAAGCAGTCAACCTATTTGAGATAAACATCATCAACACAAGATCAAGCAAGAATGATTTTGCCATGGACATTTTTGGGTAGGGAAAGGATCTGCCAGCTTCTGGAATAGCTTTTTCAGACAGAAGAGCAAGAATAAAACCTTGGGCTACATTGTAGAGGGAAGTCAGCTGGAAAAGGGGTGTGTAATAATCTGATTCTAAATGGTAACAGAGACTCCACTCAATCACAGCTAAGATCCCTGCAGCTGACACGCAATTTCTAAGCACCTCTAATATAATGAAAATGCACATGAGAATCATATTACAGTTGCACAATTACTTCAGAAGCTAAGAAATGCCACACTAGAAGCTCTTACCCCATTATAGGGAGCCAAGTATGTGCCACTTGGCACAGCTGCATATGACAACAATGATACAAAGTCGAGGATCTGAGTTTGACGGGAAGACAGCATTTCAACCCATGCTCCATTGGGAATCTATATCCTGTCTTCTAGGATGGAGCACAGCTTCCTAATATCCCATGAGTCAAAATATGGAGGGAGTACTCCTCCAAACAAGTGAAGGTTTCTTACCTATAAAGATCATTATACAACTACTGAAAATTGACTTTTTCTACTTTCCTCTTCCTTGAAATGCTAATACAATCTCAGTTCTGAGGCAGCTGTCAGTAGGAGAAAAGGCACTGTGTGCCTCCTGGTGACTGCAGGAAAACACTCGGGAATGGCAAGCAGAAAGGGATGCTGCAGTAGGTTCTGCTACAAGGCAATTTCACCATCCAAGATGCATATTTTAGGGCAACATGGGACTGTTAACACACATCATTCATCTCTGAGGTCTCCATTTATAGGTCCCTCTTCTTCCCCCATAAGAAATAATAATGGGAAAAATTCAGGAAAGACCATTCAGCAAACCAAACGCAGAAACTAAGGATGGATGACAAATCTCGACACCATTTACATCACCTACCTTTTTGTAATTCCTCCTACTAAAATATCTACTATTTTTTCAGTTCATTGTCATTTGATTTTATTTTATCCAACCAGTCCTAAAATGATGTTATTTGGGTGTATACTCCGAATATATTTTATACCCCCACTATTTTCATTCCTTAGGCACAAATACAATAGCCCAGATATATTTATATTGTCTATCAGTCTTAGCAGACCCTCTGGGATTTATTATGGCCTAAGTAAAGAAGGAACTGTGAGGTAAATGGAGTGTTGAGCAGTATGAATAACTTGCAATATAAAAGCACAAGCTTTTATAACAGTTCAGGGGAATAGAGAGAAGATTCACCCAGAATAAGACAGTGCTTTGTAACAGCAGTGACAAGTTTACAGGTGACATGAGATGCACAGTTTGCTGTAAGGACACTATAGTTCTCTAATGTACATGGGGTTTAGCTCGGGCATGCTGGATGGAATTCCTGTTAAGGCTAGTAAAACACGAGTTATGTGTTATATGTTATTGTCCTGGTTTTGGCTGAGATAATTTTCTTCCTGATAGCTGGTGCAGTGCTGTGTTTTGGAGAGAATGATGCTGATAACACACTGAAGTTTTAAGCTGCTGCTGAGTAGTTGTGGTGCTTGCACTCAGTCAAGGGCTTTTCAGCTCCCCACACTCTGCCAGCGGGGAGGTGCAGAAGGAGCTGGGAGGGGGCATGGCCAGGACAGCTGGCCCAGGCTCGCCAAAGGGACATTCCCCACCATGTAACCTCATGCCCAGTGCATAAACTGGAGTTAGCCGGGGGGTGAGAACAACTGCTCGGGGACAGGCTATCCATCACTGGGTGATGAGCAATTGTTGCATTGTGCATCACTTGTTCTTGTATATTCCATTATTATTATTACTTCATCTTTTTTTGCTGTCCTATTAAACTGTTTTTTATCTCAGCCTATGAAGTTGTTTTTTTCCAATTCTTTCCCTTATCCCACCTGGGGAGGGAGGTAAGTGAGCAGTTGCGTGGTGCTCAGTTGCTGTTTGGGGCTAAACCACAACAGTTACATATTTAACAAGCTGTTACACTCAGATGCGTACCTTGAATTGAACAACCTTCCCCACATTCTGAAACTCGGGGAGCACATCCTCATAGAACTCCAAAAACTGCTGGTAGGTCTCCTCATCACTGTACTCGAGACTCGCATCCGTGTCATAGTCATCTCTCCGGCACTGCTCCATGCCAAAAGTAATGAACATCCCTCGGACGAGTAGTGTCTTACTAGATGTTGGATAATTATGCTTGCGAGAACACCTGGACATTGGTAGAGAAGAAAGAAAAGTGAAAAGATCAGCACTTTCATTAGAAGGTGCATTTTGTTGAAACGTCAAACACTTGCCATTTTGAGTAACAGCTATTACAGAAGAAAACTTTTTCTGCAAACTGAACAACTTTTACATTGTTCTCATCATGTGGGAGGGTGGAGAGAGGGAGCGAGGGAAAGAAAGCACATTTAGACCTGAAGTTGGACGAGTACGAGATTGGTATTTTTCCACTTCTAAAAAATTACTCTAAGTCAGTCTTATCTTAATCTGCATCTTCTTGGCAGCCATAAAAGCATTAGATCTCCCTCACTATCCATCATATTCAGGCTACTTCCTTCACATGCTGAAATACAGTTCTCCCCCACAAACCTTTCCATTCAGTGAGAACACAGATGTTAGCCTCCATATTTATTTCACTGTGCTTTACGATCTCCATTTCAAACACTTCCCCAGGCAACTGGGTCATGCAGTCTCCAACACATTTCTCTTTTTTGTGACATGATCAGAAAAATAGTCAGACTGATCTACTCTCTTCATCTAGCACTGTCAAAGCACAGACAAATTGGAGGGAGGTCAGGTCTCAGAATGGGCAATTGCAACCTAGACTTCAGATAGGAAGTTTCCTTCCACATCCAGCCTGTCAGAAGTAGACTCTCACTTTCTGGTTGACACCTTAGACTTCAAAAAACAAACAAGAGCAAAAAAAAGGTTCAAATCCAAAACTAAAACTGGAAACAATTTGACTGAAGTTATTTTTTTGTTGCATTTTAGAAGCTGCCTTCTCTCATTGTTCTATTTGAATGATAGAACTCAAAATATTATACCCACCCAATATTGTCTGTACACAAAATGAATATGGCACATGACAGAACAAACGGAACCCCAAGGAAAATGAGTGACACAAAATCCAGCATTACTACAAAATATTAGGGTTTGAATTACTGGGGAAATCAGTAATGGTGAACTGAGCCAATTTTAGCTTCTTCAAGACATAATGAGCTTTGACAAGATTCAACAATTATTTTACTGATAACATGGGCTCCCAATTTTTCACCACTATGGTCCATTTCAGCTTCCAATCCATTCTTCCAGTCCTTATCCTAGCTGTATCTCAGTGCTTCCACTTACGGTCAACACTAGAGGTTAAAATGACCAGAATATGAAGGAAGCAAGTTATGTGATGAGGAGGAAGGAAGATGAAGGAGAGGTAGCTGAGATCAACAACTATAGGTGAGAGAAGAGAGGCAGAATATGATGTTTCTCAGTATTTACCAAGCCTATAGTTCAAAGCAAAACTGATTTTTATCCAATCCATAATTAATCCAAGAAGGTTACCTCCATTAAATACCACCAAAACAAAAATACTGCAAAGATAACAAAGAACTAAACATTTGAAAAGCAAAAATGCTGCCTGCAGTGAAATAGCTGGCCAAAGTTTTACTTGGGAATTCAACACATATTTCAGCATAGAAAAAAAGATGTCGACTTGAAGCTTCCATAGAGTTGAATTATCACATAATTATCCACAGTATACATCATAGAATCATAGAATCTTTGGGTTGGAAGGGACCTTTGAAGGTCATCATCACACTAAAACAAATTACTTCTAGGATAAAGAAAACTAAATGCCTGGACCACACATGTTTCAGTGCTACAAGTTCGTAAAATAGCCTTACTAGTTTATGCTGAAGATTCATGTAGTAAGTATCAAGAGTCTTTCTCTGCTGAGCTGTTGTTCCTCCTCAACACACACAAAAATTCAGGGATTTCTATCCAGATGCTGCATTTTGGTCATCATCTTTAATGGTCACTGATGAACCTGTACTCCATGAACCCATTTATACTTTTAGCTTCCTCTAGGTCCTCTGGCAACAAGTTTCACAATTTGTTTCATATGAGAAAGTACTTTTTTTTTTTTTTTTTAAAGCTGGTAAACACTCCGGGGCACAAACTGTTTCATAATAAAAGCAAATAATCCTTCCCCTCCCACTCAGGAGTTCAATGTTCATCTACAACAGCCCTCTTCCATCATCTCTTTGAAAGTAAAGAGTCTAGTCTAGTTAGCCACTCCTCCTAGAGAAGCTGTTCCTCATCTCCGATATCTTGTCCTTCTCTGTTCTTGCCTTTTACCATACTTCTTTTCCAAGATAGGGCACCCATAACAGTATACAAGAATCAAGAATGAATGTATCACACAGAACAGTGTACAAACAGGAGAATTCTGGAAGCTACACAACAGCTCTCCCAACTACACAGATGTAACTTAACTTGCTTTAGTCCATTTGAGATTTAATTTTTTAAATGATGCAGCATATGCAAATTAGACAAGATAAAAAAAGCAGCATCTGACATATCAGGCCTGTTCTAATAACAGAAATCAAATATAATCTGTCTGAATAGATCTGTGCAAGTGTCAGAGCTAAGGAAAAGTCAGTTTGACCAACGTAACTAGAATGCACCGTCAATAATATGCCACAACAATAAATAGTTCAATTGCAGCCAGGCAACGCTTTTGCTCTCAATGTCTAGTTCCATCATGAATAACACAGCCATGTGCAAATACATGAAAGTAATTTATATAGTAACTTTTGTTCAGTTTGCATATGACCTAATGAAGTTGCCTCCCTTTCATCTCTCCAAAACACTTCTACGTTGGTAAATATTCAATTGATTACCTGTCTCCAAATCGGCAGGAACCTGTTTTAATATAGAATGGGCAATTTGCTCTATCCTTCTCTGTTCCTATATTCTCTGGGGGCTCTGGGTTGTGCCAAGTCACACCATTCTCCAGCTGTGGAAAAAAACATCACAATACCCCAAAGTTATAAAAGAATAAAGAAATGTAATGTCAAAATAAAACTACCAATTAAATCCACATGCAGTTATGAGCACTGTGTTACTATAAGGCAAGCTGAACCTATTTGAAGCATTATTTTACAAAGCTGCCCAGTGCCTTGAGTGTCTGGTGATGGAAACCTCTTTTCTTGGTAATTGTTCAGTTTTAAGAACAAGTCCATATTCATGATTTCTTTTTAACAAACAAACAAACAAACAAAAAAATCACCAAACTGGACGCTTTCTTTTGCTAAAAGAAAAGCTTAAGATTTTATAACCAAAAGGGTTGCAATATATTTGCTCCTAAAACAGCATTTTCATTTGTCATCCACAAGAATTACAAATATTGGGACAGGTTCTTTCCATTCAGCTAAGCCTGCTACCTACTTCACTCCAGAACCCACTAAGCAGCACTTTATACACCTGGCAGACAGAAAGCTAGGACTATTTACTTATTTGCGTCTGCAACAGCTCAAAGCTCAGTAAGGTTATCATTATCACTTTTTATGCAGCTAGAAAAGGCTAAAATGAAAGTCATCTGCCAAAGACCAGAATTTAAAAAAATCAAATTCATCGTTAGCACTGGAAGTAAAAGCCTCCATACTGATCATTTCAGGCCATTAAGATCTCTGTAATTCGAAACGGGATTATCAAGTTGCAAGCCTTGACTGACTGCAAACAAAGCACACATTTTAAAGAGGGAATTTTAATTTTGTTAGCAAATAGATATATAAAGCTGACTAGCCTGGGTTCTCATTTTAAATAAACTGAACACTTTATTTACAAGCAGCATTTGATCTTGCTGCCAGTTCTGTTCGTGACTCTCTGACATAATTTTCTTTCAACTCAACAGCACTGTCACTGCAACAGTGTCAACAGTAAGTAAGTGAACTCTGAGCTGATACTATAATGAAGTCTCTAACAGACCACATTTCTGCCTATTCCCTTGCAGAAATGGCTGCTAATACATCTTGAGCTCTGGGCAGGTAGTAGTTCAGAGCATTTTTCTACCCATATTATGAAAAAAAGAGTTAGATTCCCTACCTAAAGAACTGTTGAAACATAATTTGGAACTGAATGCAACTCCAACGTATCTATGACAATCAATATACAATGGGTTAACTAGATTAAAAATTTTCAGATTCATGCAGTGGTTTAAGTAGAGGAAGAATCTTCGCAAGTTTAACCATATATGACAGGGATAAAAAGCCAAGTTATTCTTAAAAGGCAACAGGAAAGACTGAATTCATCATTTCTAAGATTCATATGAAGACTGCAGTTTTCTTTACTACACACTGCCAGCTTGAGATCCATGCTCTTCCAGGCACTGGAGCAGTAAGTTTCTCCCTCTGCCACCTTCCCTTCCACAACCTGCCCCCCCCCACCCCTTAAGGATCTGTGCTCTCCTCTACTGCTGAATCCTTTTATTTAGCACCTGCCATCTGCTTAAAAAGACAAGTTTGTCTTGCCACCCAGGACTAGCAGATTTATTTAGAATTCTAATTCACAAATAAATCATCATGCATAGTGTTTTTTTAACAGCACACAGCCGTATTTCCAGATTAATTTTAACTCAGATCACCTGAACAGGAATGAGCATGCACAACTGCACTGCCACCAAGCAGCCAGAAATATGCTTAATTATGTTCCACCCAGTAAATAATTGTTTACAGCTTATGCAAGTCACTACATATTAAATTTATTCAGGCCATTAGGTTCTTGAAAGCAGATGGACAACATGCTAGAAGGCAAATACCGGATGGCAATTAAAATACTTTTCAAGTTCTTTTTCAAAGTCTCTGAGCATACCTGGCTTTCAGCTTGATCCAGCATCCTCTGTACAGCTGCCTATAAATGGTGCAAACACAGGACTAGTGAAAACCCTGAGGACACGCAAAACATCTGGTTTCTTTAGTTAAGAACCTAATTTACAATACTCAATGATTATGAACAATAGAAGTTTGATAGGGTTTGTTTTAAAAACGGAAGTTTTACTTTTGCTCTGTAGCAATTCATGTACTACAAAGCTGTTAAAAGGATACATCAGACAAGACCCTCATGCACATGATTTTCTAATCTAAATGCTAGACAACTTTAAAAGTTTCATTTTCTTCCTTTTAAAAACTATCATTGAACTATTGAGTACTTAAATTTATCTCCTGCTGTAGTACTCAGTCTGGTTACAGTTAAATGCATAATCATTTAGTTGCACTAAACTTTTTAAACTTGGAACATTCTATGTAACACACAGAAAAACACATTGCTTAGTGAGCCTCTGTTAAAGCAAAACATATAACTGTTAAGAAACTTTATTATCTTAAGTTCACTTTATGTAGCCTTCCAAATACAGGAAAACAATTACATTCTTTCCCTTCCTTCTTCTAAGTGGGCTGCGCAAAACAATAGTCACTCTCCAAAACTGGCTGGAAATTAGTTCTAACAAATTATGCTAGGAAGTTCCAAGAAGAGACATTTAAACATAACCAATACAAGAAAATATGCGGCCACTGCTCTAATTTGGAAAAGAATTAATTTAAAAAGAGGAAGAGAAAATAAAAATATGCAACCCATGATGAGGACCCAGAGAGCATCTGGTACTAATCATCAAGTATGTCAGATACTATCCACCCTATTAAATAAAAATAAAACCAGCCAAACAAACAAACAAAAACCCACCAAACCAGAAAATCTATTTTCTCATCTTGGGGATGGATTTTTTTTTTTTTTTTAATAAATCAGTAAGTCAGAATTTGAATAAGCTGCGTTTCAAGAGATGTGCCAAATCAATTGAACAAATTTCCGCTGCTGAAATGGGTGGCCCCACTCCTAGCTGGGTACTCAGTTTCCCTCTGGGTGCCTGTCAATGCCCTCACTGAGACAATCTAACTCACTAAGCCAGTAAAATCATAACCCAGCAAAAAACCCAAAACAAACCAACAACCAAACAAAAAAGAAAGTGGCTTCCATCTAGTTCAGGGAATCAAATCAGCCCACTGAGGGCTTGAGCAAATGCAGACACAAGGAAAGGGAAGGAACAAAATATCCCACTGTTGCCATGGTTCAACGCTCTTGGAACTCTCTCTCAACCTTAAATAAAGCATACAACCATCATGTTTTCTCTCTACTCTGCAGAGAGAAACAGACACTTAACAGAAGAGGAAGCAAGACAGGCAATACAACAACTGCTGTTCTTTTGCATTCCTCATGCAAGTGTTACACAATCAGTGACACAACCAACTATGAAATACAGGAGACGACACTGGTTGCTTATGTCTCTTCTCCTGCTGTGGCTACCAGACACAGCGGTGAGACACCTCCCAGTGAAATGACTGGAAACTTTTGCGAATGTGGAGAAGCTAAAATGTCCGGATCCTAGAAAGCTGGAATCACCCTTTACTGGTGATAGGCCAGTTCTCACATCGGATTTCTGTACAGGATATCTTACATCCAGGTCATTCAACTTCTAAAACTTAAGAAGAATGTATTGTTAAACAGAAATGTTATCAATTACTGGTATCATCACTATAGGTTTTTTTCTCCACCCAAGGAGCTCTGGGAAAAAAGATACTTCCTGTTGGATGAGTCAGGTAAAGAGCTGTAATATATCTTTCGATTAAGAACTGTGTTAAGGAACAGCAGCAATGTAATTCCATATTTCATACCCTCATTGGGCATCTTCTTCAACTGGGACATTAAGTAAGGATTATCTTTAATGCATGATGCAAAAAGTGCACATATCAGATCCTGCATTCACAGCGTGCCTTTGTATTTAACCGATGTAAAAAATTACGTACTGTGAATAACCAGATGCGTTAAAACTAGTTACCTTCTAGGTATATGGATTCACTAGATCCTCTTGGTATGTGAGGTGACAGTTAATAATAGTTTCAGCAATTTAAACAGAATGAAGTAACTAACAAATTCATATGTTTGCTAATTAGAATAAAAACCCTCTTCAACACACATAGACTGTTGCATCTGATAATGTAAGAGGATATGCAACATGTTTATCCTCCCACTGCCAGGAATCACCTCTCTTTCTCTCTTCTCCTGTTGCTTCTGCTGTGCCGCTTCTCTCTCTTTTCTTTGCTGCTCTTCCCATTCTTCTTTGATCTTCCTCTTTATGATAAAAAAAAATTTTAAACAATTATTTAAGGAAACAAATGCTTTATAATAATTTTCATAGTGAAATTCATAGTCAAATTCAAAACTATCATATTGTATTACAACTCCTTGACCATTAAGTTTTCATCCAGTCACAAGCAACTAAATCTCTGGACAAAAACCCTTTTCAACAGTCTTTTTCTTTTGCCTTTTTAATTTTGCTCTTCTAGAATTCTGTAGTGCACCCAACAAAACTGGGTGCACTACAGAACAGTTAAGATATTATACTAAGTCTACCTTACTGCCAGATACAACAGTAACGCGCAGTTTATACATCACCTCCTCTTCTTCTTGACGTTTTCTTGCAGCTTCTTCTTTTTCTTTCTTAATCTTGAACTCTTCTTGGGCCTTTTCTTCTCTCAGCAACCACTGCTCATGTAGTTTTTGTCTATCAAGGAAACCAGATACCACTTAGACAAAATTTAATGACTACCCACAACTGATGCAATTGTGCATACAATTCAAATTTATTAGTTCAACAATAATTACAGCTTCTCTCATCTTCCTTAAAAGAGGAAATTCCATAGGAATCATTCAGGCTTTAGAGAAAAGCTGTGTAGCCTAAAATATACAAAAGGATCCTATTTTTCAGAATATACTGAAACTTTTCAAAGTATCAAAATGGAATTGACTGCAAGTGTATCTACACCATATATGCCGTTTTCCTAGATTTTTCACCTTTCTGCCTCAAGTTTTTTTTCTTCCTCTTCTTCTTCCTCCTCCTCTTCCACTTCCTCCTCTTCCTCCTCAGACACCGATTCATCTTTTTCTGTAGTTTCTGAGAAAAAAAACACAAAACAATGCATCTGAATATCTGGATGTTATAGTCAGCAAAGATACACAAAATTATACTCTTTTAAAAAACAAAAAGGAAAAGAAAGAAAAAAAAATCACTACTAGATCCACTGACAATACAAAACACTTCACCATTACCTGTGTCTCTTAGTTTGGCAAGCGCCTGACGCTTTTTTTTCCGCTTTTCTTTCTTCAGAATAGCTCTGTATTTTTGATGGCTGAAGATGAGATAATATTATTTACGTTAAAACAACCAGCCAGACAAAAGATTTTTACTGTCATACATGCACCCAATTTATATCAGCAGTACAAAACCCCACAAACTGCAAAATTAACAGCTATTTGTATGAAATGGTAACTCTACAGGAACATCTAACATGACAACGAAATCTGTAGCTATGCTGTTAGAGCTGCATGTAGATAGTGGCAATGATCACACTCAGACACAACACAGAGGGTCTCATCCTTCCAGAGCTCTGCAGTACTTGACATTACCACCAACTCCATAAAAATCTCCCGTAGTTCCTGAAACTTGGTCACTAGATAAGATTAGGGAGGAAAATTTGGAGATTTCCTACTGTCTAATTTTGGCACACTTTTTAGCACATTCTACTCTTCCTCTCTTTTATAGGGTATGAAATTTTAAGTCCCTTCCCTTCTCCATTGATATTCTCTACAGGCAGCAATCTTAATATATAGATAACAAAAGCACACTTAACAACCACCACAGATAGTGCTCAGGTATACTCTTCTGCTACTGAAGCTTGGCCAGACTCACCCTTGTTTGTCTGACAACTTTGCAAGGCTGCCTAGAAACAACACTATGCTTTTATTATGATTAAAAACCCTCTAAGTATCAGAAAGCCTTTTCACACCCACTCCTTTTCTGTTATTTTTCATTCTAGCTCTCTTCTTTCTTGCCAGTTCATAATGAAAAAAATAAGAGGGAGAGATGAGCTTCAACTCTTTTCATTCTGCCACACCAACTATTGATGGGAGATCAAAATCTTCCCATTTTGGAGTATGTAATTTTAAAAGACTCCATAGGTATAACTCAACCAAAACCGCACCCACATCTCTAACCCTTCCGTTCAGGGTTACTCACAACCTCACCACCTGCACATCTGTGCCTGGCATCAGTAACTCCGTGGCGGTTATCCTGGCAGCAGAGTGCTTGCTCTCAAAGACCCATGCCTGACCACCTGCTCTGCCCACATCTGAGCCTTCTAGCTTTCATCAAGCAAGGCTAGCAATTCCTGGTGTAATGTCACCTGCCTGAAACGAATCTCATCCACTCAGCAGGTGCCTAGGGCTGGGAAGCGAGGATACCTCCTCCCCAGTTCGCAGGCTAGAACTTTTAGGTGCTCTGGAAGCCCAAGGAAGAGGGAGCAGCTCTCCTCGCTCCGAGGCCGCAGTAGCACACGAGGAGGTGGGCAGACAGCTGAAGCGCAAGGAGCAGCGGCGCC